ACTCAGTAGAATAAGTGCTTGTCTGGCAAGAGCAAGGGCCTGAGTTCAATCCCTGGTTCCGCAAAAAAAAAAAAAAAAAAAGGAAAGAAAAGAAAAGAAAAACCACCCTAAAATTCATATGAAACCAGAAGAGATACAGAATAGAAAAAGCAAATCTGGGCAACAAGCGTAAAGAGGGAAGCATCATGCAGCATAGCACTAGCACAGAAACAAGACATGTCGATCAATGCAATAAAATAAAGGCCTGGGCACACTGTTATTTAACAATGGAGGAAAGATACTCTCATATATGGTGCTAGGAAAATTGGCTATCCACACGTAAAAGACTGAATCTAGATCTATATATCTCATCATGTACTAAACTACAATCAAAATGGATCAAATATCTACATATTAAAATATGTAAAACTCTTAAAGACATAAACATATGCAAGGACTTACTGAACAGAACCTGGCACAAGAAATAGTAGCAAGAGCTGGGCATGGTGGTATATGCCTGTAATCTCAGACCTTGGGAGTTTGTGGCAGGAGGACTGCTAGAAGTTCAAGGCCAGCCTGAGCTACATAGTGAGACCCTGTATCAAAAAACAAACAAATCAACAAAAGAAAAGAGAAAGGGAAAAAAGAAACAGCAAGAATCACCAAGTGGGATCATATCAAATTAAAGAGTTTCTGCACAGCAAAGGAAATACCGACCACAGTGAATAGACAATCTACAGAATGGGAAATAATTTTTGCCAGCTCTTCCTTGGACAGAGGACTAAGATCTAGAATATAAAGAATTCAATATTCAAACCACCCAAAAGTAAAAGATCCAAGTAAAAACTGGGGAAGAAAAATACACACTTCTCAGAAGTACAATTGGTCAATAAATACATGAAAAAATGCTCAAGATTGCAAATTAAAACAGAGATTTCATCTTCCTTCAGAGAGAATGGTGATCTTTTAAGAAATCAAATAATAACAGCTGGTGTTGAGGGAAAAGAGGAACCCTTTTACATTGTTCGTGGGAACATAAACTAGAATAAGCACTATGAAAATCAATACGAAGATTCTTCAAAAATATGAAATTATAACTCTATTTGACCCAGTTATCCTCGTTCTAGGTAACTTCCCAAAAGAGTTAAAATCATTATATTACCATGATTCATGATACCCATGTTTATAGTAGCACTGTTCATAACAGCCAAATCTTGGAAACAGCCTACATGTCCATCAATAAGTGGATGAAGAAAACATATTTATACACGATGTACTATTCTCCTGTAAAGAATGATAATTGTAATTTGTAGGAAAATGGATGCACTTTGAGGCCATAATGTTCTGTGAAATAAATCAGACACACAAGCCTAATAGTCTCTTATATGAGAAATCCAAAACATAAAGAGCAAAATTAATGAGATAATTGGAAGTATGCAGATCTTTTTCATCCTCCACCCACAAGTGAGGAAACCTCTACACTTCCAGGGGAAGGGCCTACTCACTATATCTGGAAGAGGACCCAGTCACTACACTTACCTCTCCCTTTATATCTTGTCCCAGATCTACAAGCCATTGAGATTGTCCCAGATATTCACTCAACTTGGCCTAATTTTTTATCCCCCTTGAAACGCATTTTCTGCAGGATGCAAATGTTCCACTGTACTTGACCTAAAAGATGTCTTTCACATTCCATTCATAGTCACTTTGTATTTTTGAATGACACACCTGCTATCAAAGACCATTCTCCAATTCTGTTGTGCAGTGCCCATTAGATTTGGAGAAATACTGACTAACGACTTTAAGATGTTGCTATTGAGCCAGGGAGCCATGGTACAGTGTGTAGATAACTAGATAACTGCAGTCTGATTCATGAACTTTGCCACACAGACTCTTAACCACTTTGCTAAGTGCAGTTAGATGGTTTCTTCCACTAAAGCACACATTTGCAAGAAAAAGGTTGCTTACTTGGGAATCCAATTACAACAGTGTCAGTGTGGAGACTGACCAGAAGAGGAATACTGTCAGTCTTTAGGTGCCTGAGACCTGCAAGCATTTCAAGAATCCCTAAGAAAGCCAAGTTTTTCCAGAATAAAGATACTAATTTTGGTATCCTTCTAACAAAAGCCCCTATATGAAAGCACTAATTGGAATATATCTTGAGTCATTAATTTGGATTTTTTTTTGGGGGGGGGCATGTCTCAGGCTGCCTGAAGGGCAGGTCTGGTAAGGTAGGTGGAGCTGGGGATCCAACTGCAAGCCATTAATTTGCACAACAGAATGCTAAAATGCTTTCAAAGTTCTCAAGGACAGATTAGTGTCTATCCCCACAGCTCCACTTTGTAGATGCCTAACAACAACAAAAGACTATTAAGGCCATTCCTTTAATTAAAAATAAAAAATAAATCATAAATAAGGATCCTTTCTTTATTCATGTTCTACCACATCCTTTGTGTTGGCAAGAAAAACAGAGAACACAGAATACGTGCTTCTCACAAGCTAATCAAAGAATCGTGTGCTGACTGTATGAAACTGACGCAATGGCACCCACAGAATTAAATTTGACTGTTATGCTCTTCCTCATAGGGGAGAAATTACTTTGCTTTCATTTTTGATCAAAGATAAGGATTCTAGCCAAATTACTATGCTAGCAGAGCCTACCCTAATCATAGAAATATGACAGCCAGAGAGCTTGGTGGTCTAAGCGCCTGCCTACCAAGTGTAAGGACAGGTGTTCAATTGCCAGTACTGCATCCCATGCTGGCCACCAAAACTGGGAATGGTGGTGCAAACCCATAATCTGAGGACTGGGGAAGCTGAGACAGGAGGATCACTACAAGTCCAAGCTGCGTAGTGAGACCTTGTACCAAATAAATGTTTTAAAATGTGAAATATATTTTCCTATAGACGTCAAGGTTTCTGAAGTAAGTTATATGTAACTGTCAGCAATTATAGTGGATGAAGATGATAGGACATATATTGTACCTGTTATTAATCCCTTCTGCAAATAAATTTTAATTTACATTTGCAGTTTTTGTCTTAAACCAAATCCCTTGTTTCATAAAAGAACAAAGGATTCAGTAACTTCTCCTGCCTTTATTATAGCTTCTACATGTGTAGTGTTTTTAGTTGTCTACAACCTTAAAATACAAAACAGTCTAGTCCTGAGACAGATCACAATCTCCAAGAAGGATGGGTTTGGAGCTTGTTATGGTTTGTGCCTGGATGTCTCCCCAAAGCTCAGGTGGGGACAGAGGTTTTTTGGAGGTGGCTGAATCTAGTGTGTTACTGATTTTTAGCTTTCAAAATTCTCAAGGACAGATTAGTGTCTATCCCCACATCTCCACTTTGTAGATGCCTAACAACAACAAGAAGCTATTTAAGCCATTCCTTTAATTAAAAAGTAACAAAAAAACCAAATCATTCATAAATAAGGATCCTTATTCATGTTATATGTAACACACTAGATGATTACTGGATTATTCCACTGATTGAATTGGCATTGCCATTATATTGTTTATGATAGACTGGGCAACACAAGGCACAAAAAGCTTGTCACAGGCTCACTTGTTGCTTTTGCTGTTTTCCACTCCCATGAACTGTTGCCCCTCTGCCATGCATCACCTTGCTGTGGAGACAGCCAATTATGGACTGAAACCGCTAAAAACTATGACATAAATAAACCTTTCCTCCCCTAACTTGTGGGTGCTGGGTACTTTGTGTTAGCAACAAGAAATGTAACTAGGACAAAGCTGTATTGCCATTTTTATGCTTAAAAAAAAAAAAAAAAAAAAAACAAGACAGCTGTATTGCTGTTTTATGCTTAAAACATGTGGAAGACATTTTAAAATATTTCACTTAATGCCCTTACCACTGAGAACCTCCTGTATTTTAAATAGTGTGCTAGATGTTTTGAAAACATTTATTTAATCCTTACGTTATGCTTGGTTAGGCACAATCTTTACCTATAAAGGAGCTGAGACTCAGTGGTTACGTGCCAGATTCTTTCACTGATGATTTACTATTATCCATTGCTGCCTTACAATTGAATCTCAGCCTCAATAGCAAACCGTAATTATCAAACATTAACTGAACACTTAGTTGTAATAATAAAAAATACTATAAAAACCTGTCCTGAGATACAATTTAGAACTTAGGAAATACTACGTAACAGAGAAAGGTAGAAAGACACATAGGTGACAGCTGCATAAAAGCCAATAATACCCAAAAATGTATTCCCTTTTTGTGAAAGAAATCACCCCAACTGCTTCTTAAATAACTTTGTTGATCTTGCTTTATTTTAAAATAATGTAACAATACAAAAAGACACAATTGCCTCACCAGTATCAAGTGTACCACAATCATGAAGTAAATAATCCTCATACAAATCAATTATCTGTCAACTATAGCCCTTTGAGCAGCCACAGTAGCACCTGTCTGGCCCCAAGTTCCTAATATCCATCTCCACATATTCTTTATAACATATAAATGTAGAAGTACTCATAATTTTGAGTCCACCAATGAGATGAAATCCTGAACAACTCAGGAGTACTGACCTTCCTACATATATCTTTGCACCAGCAGGAGAAAATGGGAAAGAGGAATATTCTAACACTTTCCAAAGCATCATTCCCATAGAACAGATGACGAGGCTTCAGTAGATCCATAGACAAAACATATCAAAAGCAGAGAAAAACGCCGGCTCTAAAGCTCATTGAATCTTGGTGTCCAGAGGCCAACTGTCCATGGACATTGGCTCAGACTGAGTGGGATAATTATTAGAAAAATAACTCAGTTCCTGATATGACTAGGCCTCATATAAAGACAAAACTTAACTGTCTCATTGCTATTTATCAATAAAATTTTGAAAAAAAATTAAAAAAAAGCTTAGGGAAAAATTTTGTCAAAAAAATTGAAGAGTTGTGGGCTGAGGAGATAGCTCAGTAAAATAAACACTTGCCTGGCAAGCGCAGGGTCCTGAGTTCAATCCTGGTACCAAAGCGGGGGGAAAAAAACTAAAGGGTCAAACACAGTATCCTACCTACTATTCTGTCTTTGCTCAAGACAGGGAGGTCATCACTAGATAACACTACTGGTTTAACACAAACATACAATCACTAAAATACTCAATCCTGTCCTAGTACTGTAAAAACTCAGTCTCATTTCTAGTCAATTGCAATTTCTTTTGGAGAACAGACCAAAGCACATTCCTGAAAGTTCTTCAAAGAACTTTCTATGACGATATCCAGTATAGTAAGACCAGTAATCACATACGGCTGCTAAGTACTTAGTAAGTGGCTAGTGCAACTAAGGAACTATATTTTAAATTTTATTAATTATTGTTTAAATAGCCAAATATGGCTAAAGGCCACAATAATAGACAGTACAGTTCTAGATGCTACAAAACTTAATTTTCAGCAAATAAAAATGTTTTCTTAAAAAAATTCTTCCTTTCTTAAGGTTCAATAAAACAGACACAAAATCACATTGTTAGTTTGAAAAGAGATTTTACTGGGCAAAGACTTGAAGCCAGTATTCATCTTGACTCAATGAGGTAAGAACAAAAAAGTAATCCATTGGCACTCCTAGATTCGAGTTAATGGCCTTTTGTTTGCTCCCAGGGCTACTCTTCATCTCTTCCTTTGGAGCTATTCTTAAGTTTCAAACAAAAATTCTCTTCATTTCCATCACTGGCAGTGCCTCTCACTAGACAGGTCTGATAACCTAGTGGCCTGAGAGATTTACCTTTTTTGGCAAACACACCAAATACAACTTTAGACCGCAATCGTTAGACATGTTTAATGAACCTTAACTGAATGGTTCATTGAAGGAAAAGAAAACAAAACGAGAACCCGCAGGCTCTGGAACTCAGGAAGGTGGATTTGAGATTGAGAATGAAGGTATGTGGGCCATTTCCCCTGTACAGCTTTTCCAAGTCAGTTCATGAGGAAAACCTACCACTTCAGGAGACTCAAAAGACTTTACTACGTGAATTTTCCGATGCTGAGTGAGATAGGCACTTCTGGTGTAGCATTTCTCACAGTCAACACATTTGTAAGGTTTTTCTCCTTTGTGGATCCTCCGGTGCCTGTTAAGGTTAAAGCTTTGACTAAAGCACTCACCACAATCAGGACATTTATAAGGTTTCTCTCCTGTGTGGGTCCTCCGGTGAATCACCAGGGCAGAACTCTGACTAAAAGTTTTCCAACAAAGAGAACATCTGTAAGGTTTTTCTCCTGTATGTGTCCTCTGATGTCTAATGAGATGGGTGCTAAGGCCAAAACTCTTCCCACATTCACAGCATTTATACGGCTTCTGTCCTCTGCACTCTTCTATCATGCTGCAGTTCTGATGCAAACTTTCTCCTTTTTCAGAACCTCCACAGGATTTTTCTCTTGTGTGTGTTTCCTGGTGTGTTGTAAGATTTGAACTTCGACTAAAATTCTTCCCACAGTCTGGGCAGTGATAGGATTTTTCTCCTGTATGGATTCTCCGATGTTTTATTAGAGTCGAATTATAACCAAAGCTTCTTCCACATTCCAGACATTTGTAGGGTTTCTCACCTGTATGTGTCCGCTGGTGGCGAATTAGGCTGGAACTCTGACTAAAACTGCTCCCACAATCTGGACATTCATAGGGTTTTTCTCCAGTGTGAGTCCTCTGATGTTCTACTAGAACATAGCTATAACTAAAGCCTTTTCCACAGACAGGACACTCATATGGCTTTTCCCCTGTATGTGACCTGTGATGCTGAATAAGGTGAGAACTGCTACTGAAACTCTTCCCACACTCAGGACATTTATAGGGTTTCTCTCCTGTGTGAGTTCTTTCATGAATAATAAGATGGGAGGTATTGCTGAAGCTTTTCTTACATGTTCCACACTGGTAAGGCTTTTCCCCTGTGTGTGTTCTCAGATGCTGAATCAGATGTGAACTGTTACAAAAGCATTTCCCACATTCAGAGCACTTATAAGGCTTTTCTCCTGAGTGGGTCCTCTGATGCATACGCAAATGAGAACTATTCCTGAAACTTTTCCAACACTGGAAACATTTATAAGGTTTGTCATCTTGCTGGAGAGAGGCATTGGCATGTTCTCCTGAGTCCCCTACCCCATAGATGGGCTGCTTCTCCTCTTTCCCTGTAGAATTTCCCCAAATCTTGGACAGTCCACCATTCTCAGAGGAAACTGGAGCCAAAATCTCATCTTCTTGGGACAATGTCAACAGTAGTTCTTCTGTATTCTCATGCTTAGAATTTTGTGGGCCACATCTTTGAGACCATTTTGAAGCTCCCTCTTTAAGTTTATCTGTTTTATGATTATAGTGTTGAACAGTTTCAAAAATATTCTTACTTTCATCTCCTGCAAGAATAAACAAATACTCTAAACATATTCCCTAATCTCTGCCAGAAAAGAATATTCTGAATTGCAATGAGGAAATAACAATGTAAAATCTGAATTATTTTATAACAAAGTGTTTAAAATTAGTTTTACTTCTTTCATTGTATGTGTTCACCAAAAGCAAATGAAATTTATTATCCTTACTAATAACTGTTAAGATTTGAAATATCTGAGCCACTGTTAGCAACTGCCAAGGCAAACATCGACCTAAAAACAAATATACTAAACTTTACCCTGTAAGACACACAAGCAAATAGTGACTGAGTAGGGATAAAACAGGACTCCATCTTAAGTGAAAAGCTAAACAGCTTAGTGAAAATATAAGCAAACACAGGAAGACAACAGTAATCACTATTTGTTAAGAACAGTAGCTCTGCATGTGATATCTCATTAATCCTAAAATACTTGTTATTATTGTGTGTGTGTGTGTGTGTGTGTGTGTTACTGGGGACTGAACTCAGGACCTTGCACTTGCCAGGCAAGCACTTATTCTACTAAGCTATCTCCCCAGCCCCTATCCTACCATACTCGTGATGACATTATCATTCTTTTTTTCATCTTAGATGAGCAAATTCAGCAGCTTGTGTCAGCACAGAATGAAATTAAGGCTTAGCTCATTCTAATAGCCCACTCTGTATTCCATACTTTCTAGCACATCTTACAACAAATTTCCTAAGGATTCAGATCATCTGCCTGAGCCCTCACCTGTAAAGGGGCTTTTCAAACTCTCCCTCTTCATGATGCCTTTAGAATCTGAGACCAACAATTCTTTTCCTTGCTCCATCATAATGATCACAGCCAGGCTTAGGATCCTATATCCTGTAGAAGGAAAGCAGGTGTCACGTCTGGAGGCATGTGTTAAGTGTATTCCTTCTCCTCTTCAACCATAACAATTGCAGACATGGAAAATTCTACAAAACATACTGAAAACATGAAACATGGCCTTTACCTAAAAATCTTATACCATATCCAAATAACATCTTTAAAAAACCGCAAGTCTTATACAACTAAAATTACTTTAAAGAACTAGAAATTCTGACCTAGTCCTCACAATAACTCTCCTCACATGAAAGACAAAGCTTCAAAGATAATGCCCACTCATAGCTTAGCAACACTTTCAAGAAATCAATCTGCAAGCAAAAGGAACTAAAGATGTGAAAGCACTGAAAAAATCTTTGCAGTCCATTTCAAATTTCTTTTTTTTTTTTTTTTTTTTGGCAGAACCAGGGATTGAACTCAGATCCTTGCATTTGCCAGTCAAGCGCTTATCCTACTGAGCCATCTCCCCGGCTTTGCAGTCCATTTCAAAAGAAAATTAAAGGTGTATAAAAGCAGTAAAAAAAAAAAAAAAGAGGAAATAGGACTGTCAACACTGTAAATAATCCCTAAATATACATATAAAATACCTGAGATTATAATACTAATTCTATCAGTTCTTGAAAAATAGCAGTTAATGCTTAAAATTTTCACTTTGACTAACTCTATATGCTAATATCGGTAATCTGAGCAACTACATCAAAGACAGCAATATGCAACACAAAAGCACCGTTGAATACCTCATTTTGTTCTTCTAAATGTGTACCATTTCTAATGTCTTATCAATTACTCTCTTTAAAATAAATTTTAGAAGTAAAAAGGACAAGAAAAAATTAAGGTTTATTGAAAGCAAGCATTAATGTTCAATTATTTGTCCAACATTTCATACCTATATGTTAATCTGAGCAACAGATTTGATAATAAAAACGCAAAACAACCATTATTAATTTGCTATTCGTTTTAAAAAGCTGTACCATATATATTGTTGCTACTGGGGTTTTTTTGTTTTTGTTTTTACTCTTTAAAATAAAATCGAACTGCCAAAAAAGTACCTGTATTACAGTCTTAGTTTACAAATAAATATGGCAAATCTATTCTCCCCCTCCCAAAACGAGGCCAAATGAGGGACTTCTTCCTTTCTTGCTTTTGCTTTCTATCAGGACCACAACATACATTTCAACCTGCATTTATCTTCTAGAGCCAACTACAATTTCTGACTTACTTTAAAGAACTAGAAATTCTGACCTAGCCCCGACAGTTATATACAGAGTTGGCACTTATTTCAGGATTAAAGAACACAACTAGGGCAAAAATAAGCCTTAAAGGACACACAATAGCACTCATATAAGAAACAAAAATCAATATAATCTTTCCCCTAAAGTTGCTATTATGTACCAAGTAGCAAACTTGTACATATTTCTCCTATAATTCTCACAGAGCCTAATGAACAATCTTAATTTTATCTGTTAAAAAAAAAGAACTTTATAAGTAAGTTAAAAGGGCACTGAGACGCCTCAGTTTACACAACCACAAAATAGTACACAGTATTGAAGTCCAAGCTTGACGTCGCCTTCTACACCACCTATTATAGCAGGAAGCAGCCCTGGGTATAATCTCTACGTGCAAATGGTCTGCAAAGAGCATCTTTATTGACTGTATATTACCAACTGAACCTCTAAAATTCATCAGCGTGGGCTGATACTCGGTAAGCACACTCAGCAGCTAGTTTGTCCTAAAGGCGAAGGCAGTACAAATGAACACGTCCCCAGGAAAATGCAAGCCGTGTTTTGCTGAGTAACACCTTTCCATCAAAGTATTTCTATAACTAAGCCTGGGTAACAGACTCCGTCCCGTCGCCTCCCCTGAGCTAGTACTTCTTACACCTGACCGTTAAGGAGCCCTCGGGACAATGACACACCACGGGGGCAAATTCAGTCCCAAAGGGTAATAAAGTTCGTCCTTCCAATGGCTCTCTACAGGCACGGCTGTCTTCACCGCTCCCGCGCCCCGAGGTCATCAGGACGGGAAAGCCCTCCGGAGCAATCGCACGGCCCGAAGCTCGGGGTCGGGGGCGCTGCGGGCGACGCTCCCGGAGCCAGCTCGTCCGGGCCCGCGAGCCGCGGCGGGCGCCGCGCGGGCCTTCGCCCCTCAGGAAGCCTCCTCCTCCCCGCAGCCGGGACCGTGAGGGTTTCACCTGTTACCCTTCTTCCTCCCGGGGAACTCGCTGTCCCGGGATGCCGCACACCCGCAGCTCGGCACCCTGAACAGCCGCGGTGGTCCCGGAAGGCGAAGACCCCGTTTCCTCAGACCTCGTTACCTCAGACCTCGCCAAGCCCTAGGACTGAACTCTCAAACCCGGAAGACAGGGACCGGAAGTTACCTCATCTCTCCGCGCCGGCTTTGCTTGGGCCTCTCTAGGAAATCGTGGCGGCCAGCTCTTGTTGATCTTAACCCCTGGAGCGCTGGTCCAGTTGGTGGTTTGCATTCTTGTAATGTGATTCTCACAAACCTAGGTCCTCATTGTTTCATTTGTTAGGCTCCTTAAAACAGGGACGAAGCTTGTATTTTTCTTTGCCATCAGTGCAGCATCAGATTTATCATCATAATAATTAAAATCAAAATCAACTCAGCAGGTCGAGGAGATAGCTCCACAGCCTAAACCAGCCACCCAAACTGGGAATGGTGGTGACCACCCATTATTCCCGTGCTGGGAAGGCTGAGACAGGAGTATCACTAAAAGTTAGAGCTGTACCAAATAAATAAATACCAACTTAGCATTTTTTATATTTACCATTTAATTTAGAAAATACTGGAAAATGTACTGTAAACTATCAAATATTTGTGTAATGAGTTAATGTATATTAAAAATATTTTTTTAAAAAACTTTACTCAGTATGAACTAGGGAAAGTCATACGAAATATATCTTAACTCTCATAAGTTCTTTGTGGTTCTATTTACTTTATTTACTTATTTTTTTAAAAAAGCTTTGTGAACCACCACAGAAAAGTCAACAGTTCTTACCTGAGACTTTTCTTCACACTATTTTATAAAAGCAAGTCTGGAAAGTAGCTTGCCATGAAACACACCTTCTATAGGAAAATATTTGCCTGACATACTACAAGTGTCGTTCCATGACACTTGCAAGTATCCTCAGTATGAATGCTCCAAATCCTCCATGGCATACTACATTAGTGTGTTTACTACTCCTCATTCCTTCATTGTGTTCTCTACTAAAATTTGTGTGGCTGCCTACTGAACAATTCCATTTCAAATGACTTCTCTCTCCCACTTGACTTATTTGGGGTTGGTCAGTTTTTAGCAGTAACTCTGCACTAGCCTTCAGGGTCTGTGGACATCAACTTTTGTGAGAAAGACACTAACACTTTTTCACTTAGATCTCCCCCTGTGCATTTTTGTGAAGTCCTGAATTCCAGCAGTAGGACTTCCCACACTCAGACCATTTCCATGGCTTCTATCCGGTGTGAACTCTCTGGTAGTCACTGATAAGACTTCTGAGTAAGGCTTTCCCACACTCACTGAACTTAAAAGGTTTCGCTCCTGAATGGGTTTGTAATGAATCAGAAAGGATGCCTTTCTGGAGTGGGCTTTTTCACACTCACTGACTCATTGCTCACTCACACAAGCAGCACTGATACAGTGTCTCTCCCCTGTTGACATCCTCCTATGCATAATGAGAAATGACTTGCTGCTGAAAGCCTTCTCACTTCTCACAGAACTCTAGAACTTCTCCCCATATATGGGGTCATAGACGAGCAGTGAGCTGCACCTGCCTCCCAAAGACTTTCCCATGCTTGCTGTCCTGACAGAGGTCGTTTCCTATGTGAACTCCTTAAAGCACAATGAACTTGTCTTCATATTAAAAGCTTTCTCGGAGAGTAGGAATTTCTGCCGCGTTTCGGGAACCCCCAGACTCAGTCCTAGCCCAGGTCTGGTGAGTGTGTGGGAGAGCTTCCCGCTACCCTGCGCCAGTGGGACCAACTCTGGGTCCCAGCCCAGGCACAGCGTGGGTCAGATCGTCTTCCACCCCTTTGGGACGCCCCCCACCACTCCGCAGCACCTCCCCCACCCTACCCGACAAGTAGGAATTTCTGCCACGTTCCGGGAACACCCAGACCCAGTCCTAGCCCAGACCCAGTGAGTGTGTGGGAGAGCTGCCTCTACCCATACTCCACCTTGTCCCCTACAGCCTCAGCTCAGGCCTGGCATACAGGCCTGGGATGTAACCCTGCAGCTGCAATCCCTATAAAGAGGGTAGAGGACAGAACCACTCAGCTAGTCCAGGAGCAGAACATCTTGCCACAGGGGCACAACAGGT